AAAAAAAAAAAAAAAAAGAGGGGAAAAAAAAATGGCCGCTCCTGTTTCTTTGTTCTCCGTCGTCAGCCTCAGGCACCCGCTCACCGTTCCTGCCGCCCTGTTTCCCTAGTATCGAGGACCCCATGCATGCACTGTGTCTGCACTCTGGTCTGGATGGCTGGGGCTGGGTGTTCAGCAGTCCTGGGCTCCCTCTCCCTCCCTGCTGACTCCTCTCCTCCCTTCCGGAGCTGGGGGGAGGGCCACTTGGGTCCCACCGGGCCGGGGCTTGTATCTTACCCCCTTTGTGAGGCACTGGGTTGTCGCAGGTGTGGATGTGGTCTGGATATTTTCCTGTGTCCTCTGGTCTCTATTTTAGGAAGAGTTGTCTTTGTTATATTTTCATAGATAAATGTGGTTTTGGGAGGAGATTTCTGCTGCTCTACTCATGCCGCCATCTTGGCTCCACCCCAAAAGTTCCCCCTGCTTTTTGAAGAAGGGACCTTGAACTCACATTTTGCACTGGGCTCCATAAATTATATAGCTGGCTATGTACTTAGGCACAGATTAATGGAAATCAGAGATTCATTCACTCAAGCAGCAATCATTTACTGAACATTTGCTCAGTGCATCACAGTGCTAGGTATAGGAGTGGTCTCTGCTCCCTGGGCCTTCACACGAAGTTTTGGCAACATACGTACAGTCAGGTCATATCGATACTTATGGAATGGTGAGGCCCAAATCTGGGAGCAGGAGTGAAATCCCAATTGTACCTGGTAAGGCGAGAGGTCAGAAAAGAATTTGTAGGAGAGGTATTAATTCAGATCGAGTATTCCAACTTGTAAGACACTTTAGAAATACTCTCTTTGCTAAGACAAAACTGAATAATTAGAACTAGCATGGCTGAAATTGGAAGTTCTCTCATCTTGTACTCCGATCTCACCACTTAGGAGGGATACCCTGCAGTCACCTTAACTCAAATCCGGGATGGTGACTGTATTGTCAAAGGGAGGGCTGGAACTTAGGTTATCTGGTTTCTAATTCTTCTCTGCATTCCAATTTTCTGCTCTTCAATCCTTAATTTGATGGTCCTTAAATTGTTCTTACTTTCCTGTTACTGATATTAAGAAATTAGGAAGTAATACAGTATTTTTCAGAAGATTTTATTTTGTTTCACTTTTTTGCTTCATATCAAAACTTATGTAAGAGGTCTTTTAAAGAGGAAATTTTTCTAGTGCACTTAAACTGTAATTTGTTTTATAGAAACCAACATCTCCCTAGCCACTGTCACCTTGAGTGAGGAAACCCTGTGCTCTGGAGCCTGCCTTCTGGTGTTGAAGGCACGTAGGCTTTGTAGTCAGGCCTGGGTGGCTTCTAAGTCTGCCTTTGAGGAGCTGTGTGCCTTTGGGAATGTATTTAGTCTCCTTGAAAAATGGGGCAGTAATGAATCCTTCATAGTGATATTGGAGGGATTAAAGAAGAGCAGGTAGAGTATGCAGCACCTGCTGGGAGCTCAGGAGATGTGGTTTCCTTCTCTTGAAAGACAAAACAATTTTCCGTCTTCTTTCCACCTCTTTTAAGGCATTTGCCATATGAAATTCCTCATTTTATACCAATGGCCTATTTCAGCTGTGTTGGATACTTGAGAAATTTGTTACTTTTAACTCTCTACTAATATATTGATAGAGAAAAATAGGACTCTTCAATTTCAATATTTTCTTTGTGTGTTCACTTTCTATCCAGCAGTGAAATTCCAGAATACTGTGAATTTGGGGGAAGGTATCAGAGCCATAACATTGAATAATTATAAAATGACAAGGCACTTTGAGGATAACCCTAATAGTTGACATTTAAAGAAAGCTTTGCTCTGAGCACTACACATGCGTTAATTTGGTTAAATCTCACAAGGGGTCTTTGAGGGAATTCTCTTATTGTTCCCATAGCACAGATAAGGAAACAGCAGCGAGGAGTTAAGGAACTCATCCAGGTCAACTTGGCTGGCCCAGAACTGATACCCTAACCAATATGCAAACCGCCTTAATTAGGATGTATTTCAGACCCCCAATTCTACAAATGCTTGAAATCTGCAAAATATAATTGACTTGCCCATGGTCATGTAGCTGCTTAAATGAAGGGACAGGACTGGAACCCCAGGATCCTGAGCACTGGGGTCCTAGATCCTGACTCCCCAGTGCATGGTACTCTTCATCACTCCCAGAGTTACTGGCAGGGCAGGTTCACAAGAGGCTCAAACTGGGAACCAGCCGAGCTAGATAATATTTCTATTCCTGTGCCTTTCATTAAAGATGCATGATTTTTATAATTCCTTCCTTTAATAGTAATTGCTATGTTTTGTCTTTCAGGAACCTGAGGCAGAAGGACATAAGCCAGTGTATCTGCCTGTTGAGCCTACAGTTAAAAATAATTATAGAGAACATGGTGATGTTTCAGAAACTGTCAGGTGGTACCTTTTCAAATCATATTTTTTTTACATTATTCACTTCTAGTCTGGAGGAAATACCTATGGGTAAAATGGAGAGAAGAGTGAGAAAAGAAAAGCCAAACCTTGTTCACTCATTTCTTCCATGGAATTGAAACATACCTGACCATTATTATATGAAAGTAGATGCAGATGAAATTTCAATATATATAGATTAACCAAAACTCTTTATTGGCGATACTTACACTTTTCCAGAAGGTGTTTGTGTGTACAGTGATATTAATAAACCCGTTTAGTCTTTAGTGCAGCCATAAAATAAGAGACAGCAAAGACACCAGCTGTAAGAGTCAGTGCTGTCGCTGTGGTTCAGCTGAAACTAGTGGCTGAGCTTCCTGGCCGCCACTCTTGTTAGTCAGAAAGAAAGAAATGTAACAATGGTGTTTACAGGAGGCAAAGTTTATTTGAATGAAATTCACAAAGTCATTTATCCCATAGGGAATAGTAGCCAGTATAGAACAGCCCCTGTACTAGTAGTCAGGGTTCTCCAGAGAAACAGAACTGATAGGGGGGGATCAATTTCTCTAGATCTCTCCTGCTCTCTCAAAGTGTGTGTTATAAGGAACTGGCTCCCTAACTGTGATTTTGGAGGCTGACAAGTCCCAAGATCTGCAGTCAGCAAGCTGGTGGTCCAGGAGAAGCCAGTGGTGTAGCTCTAGCTTGAAGCTGATATCTGAGAGCCGGGACACCTGAGGTTGTGAGTTCCAGTGTGAGTTGAAGGCAGGAGAAGACGTATACATCCCAGCTTAAGGACAGGCAGAGAGAGAGAGAACTTGCCTTTACTCAGCCTTTTTATTCTATTCAGGCTTCCAGTGGATGGATGCAGCTCATCCACACTGGGGAGAGTGATCTGCTTTACTCAGTCTACTGACTTAAGTATTAATATCATCTAGGAACTCCCTTACAACATACTCAGAATAAACTTTAACTAAATATCTGGACACCTTGTGGCCCAGTCAAGTTGACACATAAAGTTAACCATCATAATACTCTTTTTCAAACATAATCTTCAGTTCTCTAATTCATGATGTTAGACTGTAAGAATCAGGATGTTGTGTTAGTATTAATCTATATTACATTGAGTTCAATTCTAAAATTTGCTTATAATGAACAGCCATGAGGGAAAATGAGACTGTTTTGCTGAATACGTGTGTCTTGCCAATGGGTTTCAGCCCTGGGCAAGTTTGCTATGGATTCAGTGTGACCAAAGAAATTGACAGCAAAACATTCTTTGGGGAGAAAGGGTTTATTACCAGCTTGTTCTCCTGGCAGTAGGTCGAGCTCTAGTGTCTCTGCCTCCGCCCAGAGCACTGGGCCAAACTCTTTATATAGCACAATAATAGGTTATTGTCTAAAGGTGCGGAAGCAGTAGCCTAGCAACAGGTCAGTTACATCATGAGGTGGTTTAAGCTCAGTGAGGATTCTGGCCATAGGAACTCCAACCTCCCCACAACATGCAATAAGGGTTTATAGATGGCAGTTGCAATCTTGGATTCAGCTTTAGTTCCCAAACTTGTGTATTGCCATTTGTTTGCACAATACTGAGATGAATTCACAGATAGTTAGCTATAAAGTGTAATTTTTTGTAGCTTGCCTTGATATAACAGAATATATTTCCATTACCCTCATTTGGAAGTGGAAAAGAGTAGCTGCAGGAAATGTTTGTATTAATTTTAAATCAGTGATGATATCACCCCATTTTTGACTTATAATTAAGAGAGAAAAGCACTAAGGATTTAGAACTAGCTGTAGAAAGACTGCACATTATTACTCATGATGGTTCAGCTCTTAGGGTCTTATCTGTATCTGATGAGATGATTCTGGCCAGCCTGGCATTTCAGTGGTGTACACGTGGACCGTGACATCCTATATTTCCTCTTAGGGAGACTTTGCATCCACAGGTCTGAGTTTTTAAAAAATGTGGTATAAAACTATACACTTTCTGATTAATAACATATCTCCTACTTTATTAGCAATAGTTAAGTGCTACTATTTACATGGGCTGGGTGCCTTTTTGAGTGGTGGTGCCCCTCTCTGTACACACACACACACACACTAGGACTGCCATAACAAAGTACCACAAATTGGGTTGTTTCAACAAAACAAATTTATTTTCTCATGGTTTTGGAGGCTAAAAGTCTGAAGGTGTCAGTGCGGTTGGTTCCTCCTGAGGGCTGTGTGGGAAAATTTGTACTCAGTTTCTTTCCTTGGCTTATGGTGGTCATCTCCTCCCTGTGTCTTCACATTATCTTCCCTCTGTACATGTCTGTATCCAAATTTCCTCTTCTTATGAGGACACCAGCCTTATTGGATTAGTGCCTCTCCTAATAACTCCATTTTAACTTGATTACTTCTGTAAAGACCCTATCTCCAAATAAGATCACATTCTGAAGTGCTAGGGAATAGGGCTTCAACATATAAATTTTTGGGGAATACAATTCAAGCCATAACTATACATGTATAGTATATATGTGTATGATTATATCTATGTACATAGTATATACACAATATGTTTATGTGTGTATATATATGCACATATATATGGTGTATATACATATACACACAGACTCATTTAACCCTTGAAACAAGGCTATGAGTTAGGTATTATGATTAACCTTTTAAATATGAGGAAATTGAGGTACAAAGCTCAATGCCCCCACAGTTATCAAATTCTGGAGCTGAGATTTGGACCCAGACCCCTGGCTCCTAAGACTATGCCCAGGTCCATACGGCAGTGGGTTTTCCTGGCAGCACAAGGTAACATGTCAATAGATGGTAAAGGATTAAAAGTAGGGATGTATTCTTTTGAATTTTTAAAGAACTAGTTTACTGAATTGTGAAAAGTTCTAGAAATGATACCTGAAGGAAAATTCTGCAGCACTCCCAGATCATAATTTGGTTTGGAAAACCTAGTGTCCTTGAGATGCTTATTTGAAGGCAGTGAAAGCTTGTGAGGTATCTGGGCTGAGCCTCTGCTTAACACCTGGCCTGGCAGCAGCCTGTGTGCTCAAGGTCAGCTGGCTGTCTCATACATGTGCAACCCTAAGTGTTCCTGAAAACAAAAGCCAGAAGAAGATGTGAAGACCCCATTTGGAACATGGTAGGTGGGGTCATGGGGTGAGAGCAGTGGGGCCTTTATCTGGCCCAGGGATGGCATCACAGACAGAGGCTCATCCACAGGCCTTCCTCCCCTCTCCTTCCATGGCTAAGTGGCTCTTCCCACCAAAGGCCCTCAGGATGCCACAGCCACAGAGCAAGCTACCAGGAATGTGACCTGTTGGGCCATAATCTGCCTCCCTCTTGACTTTCTGACCTCACACAAACTGTAACATCACTATTTTTTAGTTCCCTCATGTGCAAAGTGATACTTGTTGATGAAATCATTTTTTCATTGACAGGTCTTTGTTGATGGCCTGCCATGTGGTGGGCATTGTGGGCCTCTGTGGATAAAATGAGAGTTCCTGTGGCCAGGATTCTCACCTGGCTGTGGTTGACTAGCTCACTGCACACCTGTGGGCAATACATTGCTTTGATTCTATAAAAAGAGCTCCACCCAGTGCTCTGGGCACAACATGGTGGCAGGGCTACAAGGCTGCAGGAGAGCAGAGCAGAGGCTGGAGTGGTGGCAGCGCCAAGGACGGAGGCCCAGAGGACAGCTATACAGGACAACTGTGCAGAGAGGCCCAAGGACGGCTGTGCAGGACGGCTGTGAGGACAGAGGGGCCCAGAGGATGGCTGTGCAGACAGAGGGGCCCAGAGGCAGAGACTGGCTTGCTGCATACAGACTCGCTCTGAGTGAATGGGATTCTAGTGACTGACCTGCCACCTGGAAATAAAGTTGGGTATAACCCTTTCACCCCAAGAACGTTTTGCTGTCATTTTTTTTGGTCACATTGAATCCATAGCCAACTTGCCTGGGACTGAAACCCATTGGCAAGACAGCCTCCTAGGTCTAATCTATGGGGCATCTGGTGGTGTGGCTTTAAAGCATTTACCCTGTTGTTAGGTTGGGAAAATGTATACTTGTGAAATAAGACATAATTGCTCTACCAACACCATACTGTTCTAGGAGAGGCTGTGAGTTGGCAGTCTGGAAGAGTAAGGGGCACCAAGAGAGCCAGAGGACAGAGAGAAAAACGTCATTGAGTGCTCACTGTGTGCCAGTCACTAAACTAAGGACTTTGCATGCATTTCTTCTTAATCTTCAGTATAATCTTGGGGAGTAAATTTTGTCTTCCCCATTGTACAGCTGAGGAAACGGAGGCTTTAGGGAGGACAAATCTGGGACTAAAATTTGCAAGTGACAAAGCCAGGATTCATTTGGGGCTGAGTCCAGGAGGAGGGCGTGTGCACCTGATGGAGGCACCTGTGTGGCTTTCTATGCCGAGATCCTATTTCTGCATCTGGTTTGGGTCTGTTGAGGACAAGAACAATGTCTCATGCCTCTGCACAATGGGCAGTCTAAAATGTCTGTTGTCAGTGATGTCTTAGACTAGGTGACTGTCCAGTCCTTGCATTACCTACCTTCCAGTGGAAAACCTTTCTGGATAAAATGAGAGTTCCTGTGGCCAGGATTCTCACCTGGCCCTGGTTGACTAGCCCACTGCACACCTGTGGGCAAGTTGACTCTATAAAAAGAGCTCTTCCCAGTGTTCTGGGCATGACATGGTGGCAGAGCTGCAACGCTGCAGGAGAGCAGAGCAGAGCAGAGGCTGGAGTGGTGGCAGCGCCAAGGACAGAGGCCCAGAGGACAGCTGTGTGGGACGGCTGTGCAGAGAGGCCCAGAGGACGGCTGTGTGAACCGAAGGACCCAGGGGCAGAGACTGGCTTGCTGCCTGCAGACTTGCTCTGAGTGAATGGGATTCTAGTGACTGACCTGCCACCTGGAAATAAACCTGGGTATAACCCCTTCACTCCAAGAACGTTTTGCTGTCAATTTCTTTGGTCATACTGAATCCATAGTGAACTTGCCTGGGGCTGAAACCCATTGGCAAGACAACCTTGGCTCTGCTTGTGAAGAGCTCTCAGTCCACTGGAAGAGTCACACAGACCTGTATATATAAGTTACACCCCTTTGATGGAAAGGATTACGAGCTTTGGAGTCACACTGGCCTAGAATCCCTTGCTTCTAATTTATCTTTTAAAAAATCATGGAAAAATTTATATCACTTCTCTGAGTCTCATTTCATCAACTGTAAAACAAGCATGTCACATTACTCAGAGCGTGCTTGTGGTTGTGAGGATTAGGTGTTGCAACAGTACCTGCCACACAGTTAGTACCAGTAAATGGAATCAATGAAAATCACACACCAACCACACAAAACATAGCAGGAATAGACAGTTTAGTGAGTGTGGAGTTGGAAGAGAAGAATGGAAAGGGATGAAGTAAGAGCTGGAACAGTTGGGGCACATGGAACTTTGGGTCAGGAAGTCCGGAAAGACTGACTTCTTAGCAGATGGGGTGGGGAAACAAGGAAAAATGTCTTTTATTTTTTGAGTTTCCATCTTGTGCAGTAGGTATTTTATATAGTGCACTTAACTGAGTTCTCAAAGCAGTGCTGTAAGATATGTATTTGTTCCATAATTTATAGATATTGTCACTTTCCTGTAGGACTCATTTCTGTAGTCAGACTGGCAGGTAGACTACCCGGGGAGAGGACTGAAATTCTCAGTATGTTACATCTAGTATGGTTTGGAAAAGACTGATCAGAATGGATATTAACTATAAACAACAGTAAGTCTGTCTGTTGTGTACAAGCTGGTATCAGTCCTAGATAGCTAACCACAGTGTGGGTTTTCCTAAGAAGGAGGAGAGGAATAGATGCTATGTGAGCAGCCAACAATGACTGCTAAGACTGCATGTATCTACCTGAGTGTTAGGCTTCACGGACAGCTAAGGTAATCCCCAATCCCAGTTTTCTAGTCTGAAAGCTCAATATCTGTGGCCTCAGTGACTAGGTAATCTTCTTACTTGCTGTGTTTAAATTTGTCTCATTCAGAAGGTTAACCTTCATGTGGCCTGACACAGTCAAGTCCAACTCCTTCCTATGAAGGGACTGCTAGCAGGTCAGTCCAAGCTGCATCTCTGTTTAGTGCCAGAGCAAAAAATGTAACTCTGTTTAATACATATGCAAAGTGAGCAAATTAGGCCCTGCCTAGA